AACATGTTTAGTAATATAGCCCGATCGGGATACAACGATATCCCGAACGGGATATATATCCCGATTCGAATCTTGATTATATCCCGACCAGGATTTGTAGCCCAATCGGGATAATCGTATAGCCCGATCGGATAAATATCCCGTTCGGGATATAAGTCATGACTCCGCACTGTAAGGTTTTAAAAAGTTTCGTCACCCCACTTTTTCATACTGAATCGAATGATGTAACTTTTAAAAAGATATTTAGATCTGTTAAAACTCAAACGAATTAACAAGGAATTTTCAATCATCGGTACATCTATAAAGATTATTAAACTATATATATATATATATATGGATGCAACGGGTCCTTACGCTTTTACATATGATATGAGCTGGTATTTATTGTATACTATTTCTCTTGAACAGAAAAACAATTTGTAATGAGTCATTCATAAATTAAAGGATTAACTCAGCAAAAAAGTCATTGATATGGTTACAGAGTTTATTATTATTCGCTTTGCTCAGTATCAGATTCTTGATGATCAAATCCTTCATCTTCACAGGACCATTGGAATGGTACTACAACATCGTTTGCAAGAATTTTCATTTCATTTAAGACGCATTCAAATTCTGGTATTGTTACAGATAATTTATAAATATATGAATATTTTTTTCCTATACTACTTAATTCGTTGTATATAATTGCCCAATGTTCTTTTTCCATCTGTTTGTCATGTGAAAATATAATATCTTTTTGTTCTATACTAATGCGTTCTTTATCGTCAATAATAACTACATGTTCTTTAAAGAATTTTTGTACATCATAACACCATTTAAGTAATTTTTCGTTTATTTCAATTAATATAAGACCATAGAACGGACAAACATTTTTCATTATCCAACGAGCGTTTTGTTCTTTTTTATACTTTCGTATACCAATCAAACGTACTATTTTGTTTTCGATTTGTACACAAAATTCATTTGCTATTGGTAATAAATGATTTCTACTAATTTGATCAAATAGTAGATGAACTTCCACTGAATTTCTATTCATGTAAAATTCACTATTATCATCGTTATTATTCTTTATCCATTTTTCAAACCAACATTTAATTGGTGGAACTTGTAACGCAATATTTGTTGGTATTTGAATTTTAGTACCACGTGCGTTTATGATAACATAATCTGGCATTTTTATCAGACCTAAATAAGAAATACGAAGTTCTTATTCTATTTTATATTTGTTACTCAAAAGAATTGTGACAGTAGACTACAGTTTGAGAAGATCTTTGAGAAGAACTGGCTGGAGGGCGTTTTCAAATCGAACAGAATCAGTTAATTGCTCGGGCTGACCAGCAACAGAGAATGACGAACGTGGATTAGGGTTTTTGTCGATGAAATGTTCACGGAAAATTGAGATAAAAGCTCCAAAACCATGGAATTGAGACTGATGTTCGTAATACCAGTTGAGTGTCTTTCCTTGGAAGAGGTCTTCTAAGCAATGAAGCTTCATATCGGCTGACAAGCGAGTTTTCTTGAAGGAAAAGTTCAACTCTGTTAACCATTGTTCTGCGCCTTCACCATTAAACTTCGGAAGAGCACCAGCGTGTTGAGAAATTTCTTTGGGTTTCTCAGCTTCTTCCTGTTCTGAATTGAAAAATGAAGAAAAACCGACTTTCTTATCAGCTGTTGCAGGTGACATTATTGTCTGTGGTTGACTATTATTTGCAGATGTCTGTGCTGAGAAAGAAGTGTTCATATAACTTAAAAGTTGGTGCGTAAACAAATTCCAGTCATTTATTATCGAACTGGATTTATACCATACCTTCAAATTATCATCAAGATAATCATAAGCAGTTGAACACCAATTTCGTTTATTAATTTTCAAAGAATCAAACACATCTTCTACAGGAACTAGCCATGCAGTGAAATTCCCAGTATCTGAAAAATCTAGGACTTTTATCTTATTCAATTCATCCTCTTCTTTCCGACGTAAATCGTCAATAGCTGTCATCTGGGAGTTTGCTTGAATGGGCTGTGGCGCTACTGTCGATGCGTTATCGACAAAAAACGTAACGGGATATGAAAAGGATATAACAGGAGACAACGAGTCAAGCGATGACTCGCGGATATTTTGTGTTGGTTGTCTGATTTGAAGAATTACGATGTTTTTCACTTGTTTGTTCACGAGTGTTAGCAGGAAATTCGATTTGGGAGTAACGTGTCTGTTTTAAGTCGGTGTTTGAGCGCAGAGATTTCGGCATAACGAATCATTATGATAGACGAGTGCGATACGCTTATAATAAACAGTACACAAAAAATAGATAGTCAAATCTTAAGCTACTTTTTCCGTCGTTGTTGGTAGGAATAATTAACCTTACTTCTGAAGTAATTGAAACTAGCACATACCTTTCGTTCAGTTTTGCTTTGGTTAAATAATCCCTTAATATGTGTATATAACGTAGCCAAAATATAAACGAAAAATGAGAGAGATAGACTAACTAACATAGATAATCACTACCCAAGCCCGATGAAATATGCACCTGATAGTGATGAAATGGTTGTTGATGCAGGAATATATTATGTAAAAATGGTAAAATGAAAAAGCGAAAACTACAAACAAGAAATACCGAAGTACGGGGTCTAACTGTGCACTGACTATATCGACGAAAAAAAAGAAGACTAGACCGTGTAGATAGAATAGAGTATGAATATATATATACTACTGTACGAAAATATCGAGGTCGAATAACTAAACAGTATATGTGGCAACAGAAAAAGACAAAAAGAAAAGAACTGCGTGGCTATGATCAATGAAAAATGAGAAAGAATGAAAATGAACAAAATAGAGAAAGAAATGGCCGACTATCTCGAAAGGCCATAAAAGCTCGTGTAAGGCTAGAGATCGAAGAAATGAGAGCTCTGTCTTAACACAGGACCGTTGCAATGGTACTACAACATCGTTTGTAGAAGAAACTGGCGGAGAAAATAACTGGCAAATGTTTGATATTTGTTTCAATACTACAGGCTACAATTCTCGTAAAAATATCGACATTTTGTGGCATCGGACCGCAAGCCGCTTTGTAATCGATCCTTAAATTCGCAAAATCATCCTAAGAAATGAAAATCATGAAAAGACTTTTTTATCCACACACATTTAAAGCGTGAGGTAAAAGTTTTGCATTAATCTTGTCTTTGATATTGCGTGCGATGGGATACCGTAGAGCCTATATCCCTTTTTTGTTAGAAAGGGCAAAGTGTCTAGTACAAAAATGTTTGATCGGAAGTGTTTCCCGAAAGTCACAAAATCTTAGAACAAAAGGCATCGGAAAATTGTTCCGTAACCTTTTCGAATTTAGAAAAAACGTTACCCAGTTTGAAAGGTAATCTTTTTATTCGTTTTATTCCGCGTTTTATAATGTACGAATAGGGCACTATTGCGGTACAAAAAAGAAATTTTCTTCGTGGTCGAACGGTCGAAATAAGCGCTTTTATAATATACTGTACTACCACCGATTTTTCATCACTGTCGATCACAGTCGAAAATAGAAATTCTACCCCTACAGAGAAGTTGCCAGAAACTATATACTTTACATGAAAAAGAAAGCTTATTGAGTCCTCTACCAAACGATATTATTCGGAGGAGAACACAGCTGCTCTGTGAGATATTAGGACAAAAAGTTGTTTTCGCGTTGTATACACCAATTGAGTTTTTAATCAAACGAGCTTCTGAACAATTTCACTCAACAACTGTTGAGATTTCACATTTGTCTCAACAATTTTTGAGTGAAAATTACTAGATACAGTTTAAGTTTAAAAGAATGAATTATTTCTGATAGAATGAAAAGAAATACTGAAGGGTATTTCCGTTGGTAGTATACCACATGAAGGTGTAGTGCATACATGGAGACGTACCTCATTCGATAGAGAATTCAATTCTGNTTCTGAACAAGAATATCAATTCTGAACAAGAATATCAATTCTGAACAAGAATATCAATTCTGAACAAGAATATCAATTCTGAACAAGAATATCAATTCTGAACAAGAATATCAATTCTGAACAAGAATATCAATTCTGAACAAGAATATCAATTCTGAACAAGAATATCAATTCTGAACAAGAATATCAATTCTGAACAAGAATATCAATTCTGAACAAGAATATCAATTCTGAACAAGAATATCATATTTAAAAAGTTTTTAAACGTTGGCGCTGTGTCTAGCCATAGCCCAATATTGTTTGGTTTTCTAGGAAACCTAACGGTTTCAAAATCCTTTAAGTTTCTTTTTAAACCATATCATCGGATAGAGCGTTTTTTTTTTCTACAAAATGAAGTATTTTTGAGATTTTCCAGGTTAAGAAATGACTTAGTTACAAGCAGTTTAAGATTACCATACGAAAATTCTAAATTCTCAAAAACTCACAGATTTTTTTGATGTGAATAGCCTCTCCGTGCGTTTTCGTTGACATTCGCTAACAAAGAAGATTGGAAGCCTCACAAATACCTCATTTGTAGAGAAAAAAAAACGCTCTATCCAATGATATGGTTTAAAAAGAAAGTTATAGGATTTTAAAACCGCTGGGTTTCTTACAAAGCCAAAAAAATGTTGGACTTCGATTAGACCCCACGCCAACGTTTAAAAACTTTTTAAATATGATATTCTTGTTCAGAATTGAATTCTCTATCGAATGAGGTACGTCTCCACGTATGTACCACGCCTTCATGTAATGTAGAGATGTGCAGGGTAGGATAGGGCCAGGGCTCTGAGATCATCTGAAACAACAGGGTAGGGCTAGGGCTATGGCTCTAATGTCACCTGAAGTCACAGGTTACGGCTTGGAGTTTACGCGTTTTAGAAGAGCGTCGACAGGGTAGGGTAGGGCCAGGTCTTCGGTGTGCCAGGGGAGGCTACAGCAATTTTTCACAGGGTAAGGCCAGGGCTCCAGAAACAGCTACCCTGCACATGTTTAATGTAATGATAGTACACCGCCCCTGGAAATACCCTTAATGTAGAGAAGCAGAACATACGCATTGTACAGTGATATCGTGCTTCGCTCTCGTTGTGTGAAAGTTATCGCTCTTTGTTCGATAAGAACAAGGAATAGTAACCCTTATACGGTGTGGACTGTGCTGTGTTGCTTGTCGTGCCGTGACTCTGTCTTTCTGGAAGGAAACCACCTGACGAGACCCTTGAGAAAGATCCGTAGTATCTTCTTTTAGTTCTTCCAGAAATGAATTCTGTCTGAGTTTTTAGTAACTACAAAGTGGTTGTAAAATTACTAAATATAATTAATATTAAGTCGAGTTTCACATTCACATAAACTCATTTCTTGAAAAATAACACGGTGTCCTTTCTTAGAATTTGACTGGAACTAACAAAACAAATTTTCTGCATTTTTTAGAGGCAGCAGAGAGAATGATCTTTTTTAGATGACTTGTTCATCCTTTCGTTCTCTAGTACATAGTGAAAGGCTGAAGAAAACGGCTCTAGTTTATAAGGGGTACACAACAATGAAGGGCAACAACTGTCTATGACTAGTTTAAACGACTAAATAGTTTGAAACGGCATTTGGGAAGCAAAAAATTTAAAAGTACATTGATAATTTTGTCCATCTGAAGGAGGGAACATTTATATTGTTTTTGTGATTAAAAGTCGCAGCACTGTTCGTTCAGGACATACTAAACATAATGGACTATTTGATGGTGTGAATCGTCCCTCTTAAACATTCCATTTGTTGCATGCTAAAAGCCTAAATAATATTATACATCCAGGTGCACAATTTTGCCCTCCGCTGTACGGCAGCAATGTCGAATTGGTTATACAATATTTATGATGAAAAAAAAGGATTATAAAGGTCGTTAGTTTCTTCTTACAACAATATAAGTTGGCTTCTGATAGAAGAATATAACCATGGCTATGAACAGGACGATATACATTATTGAAACACAAGTAGTAATAATCAGCGTTACTATAAACAGGGTATCTTGACAATAACCCGATTTTGTTGCATAACCGTTCTGAATAGTTTTGCGCAGGAAAAAATCGATTAGAAATTTCGCACCAAGACCCAAAGTAAAATAGAGCGGAAACGCGTTAATACCAGCTGTTATGAATGCAATAACCGCCGAGCTACAATTTATACCATACCGTAGTAGATAGTACAACAATAATGAATAAAATAAACATCCTGGTATACTCAACGTACCAGATATCCAGGAATATAATGGTAATTTTGGAAAATACGAACACGCATTAACGGATTTACGATAGAAGATCACACCAATAATAATTTGGCAAACGGATGCTGGAAGAAGAATGAGGGGAATTGAAGGGATAACTTTTCTAAAAGCCATTACATATGGCAAGGCAAATGTAAAACGATATCAACTTAATATTGTTGATCGGATGTTACGACATCGAATATAACTGATAGATAAAGATTTTTATTCTTTGAAATGTGTGAAAGAAAAATGCCTAGTAGTTTAACAGTTGAAATGAATGGTAGTTCTTCTTTTAGCGGAAAGATAAGAGTAACTTGACATTTACAAATAAATCAACTTTTTCATTCAGTAGAATAATTGAATTTTCAAGTAACCTTTCTAAACAGTTACATGCCTCTATTATACACCAGGCAATGCTAAAGTGAGAAATACTCTCTCTATCCCCGAGTCCTAAGCTCTGGCTGACAAATTAATTGAACAAAGTGCCAGTGTGTAAAATTGATTGTGCAACAAGTGGAAGAAATGAATATAATAAAAATCACTGTCACACGCTCACACATACACATAAGCACACAAAAACGCAGAAAGGACAGACTGAATACTGAATGTGTATAAACAATATATATTAAAACAACAGAAAAAATGGAAGTCAATGCCACGTCACAAACAGCGAGAAAAATATATCTGTCGTTCTAGCTGTCTGTCCTTACATAAAAAGTCAGAGGGAAACAAAGAGAAAAACAATGGACTATGGTCCAACTAAATATACGAACGAAGAACTCTATGCCCAGAATGTGAATGAGAAGACAAGGGAGAAGTATTAAAAAGAGAAATGACCACCTGCACTGGCATGTGAATGAAAAAGAACGTGAACTGTCCATGATCGTAACACCCTTCCCCTCCGAAAAAGTATGTAACATCGATCCGAAAATGTAAAGTCAAAACGAAGTGAGAGAGATCGATAAATCAATAACAACAGAAATATGGCAAATGTAACAATGTTCCAACAATGATACCCGTGCACATGTCGTCAAGGATCCAACATTTCACATTCGTAATCATATGTTCAATAATCAGCTGTAGTTCGATGTACTCTGAACTCTCCATGGTCGTGTTATTTGCCGCTTGAAAAACTTGCCGTCGCGTTGATTTTGGGTTCGGTATGTCCATTGTTGATAATGTGTATTTATCGATAAACGACTGCGAAGATTCGGTGTCGATGAGGATATTCTTTCGATGCGTTGTTCGATTCATAGCCCCGATGGGTACTTCAATGTACAGCGCTGTCGATAATGTATGGCTATTGTTTTCGGGCGCATAACCATCATCTTGTGACCCCTTTATTAGTTTTTTTGTTCCTGGCTACCTGACCGGTTATCATGTCGTGGTGTGGTTAGGCGTCGTCGACTGTAGTTGTGATTGTCGATGGTATGTTCCTGAGAATAGCTGTGATATAATTGCTGATCTTCGTCCAAATCTTGTTCGCGTAAATTTGAATTCATTAATCGATTTTGTTGTTGATAGTCAGTTAGAAAATTGTTATTATTGCGGCGATACCCGAGGCCTGCGCGATTCCCGTTCGACGATGCCGGATAACCAACTATTGACCAACATTCGTCAACCCGGTGCCCTCGTCTTCCACAATGAGCACAAGTTTGCACATTATCGCGTCGTTGTGGGTGACTGGGGTGACGGTATGATGATGCCTGCCGATTCGGTGATGGCGTTCGACTTGTTGGTTTAAACTTTATTATAGAAGAAACAGTAATCAAATCGGGCTGTGACCATTGCATGACACTGCCGTGCCCATTGCATGAATTGTTCTTTTTTCCTCTGGAGTGAATGAGATATGTTTCTGAATACCTGCTGTTGTTGCCGAATCATCCTAGTTAGTGTTGCTGTCAGAAACTTTATGATTCATTTTTTACATATAATTTTGAAAAGTCACACAAAATCTTAAAGTTATTACCTTGAATATGTAGATTGATTAGTGGAAGTTCAGACTAGGGGTGGCGCTTTACCGTTGCTTTACAGGTAACGCAGTAACGCATGCGTTATTACGTTTCTGGTAACGAGTAACGCATGCATTATTGCGTTCAAGTAACTTCGAGTAACGCAGTAACGTTTATGATACAAGTCAAGCTAATAAATACTTATATTTTTTTTGTTGATATAACTATTGTTGGCATGATTGAGTTTCTGATTTCAGTTAAGCTTTCTTCGATAAATACAGCGAGCAAAATTGCCTTTATGTACGGTTTTTGTTAATATTCTTACCCCTTCAGTTCCATGCGACTGTGCGGCTGCTCGGTTAATCTTTCTAAAAATTCAAAATTTTTTTTATAATTTTTTTAATAATTCAAAAACAGCAGTGAAGAATACAAAGAGGGACAAAACAAAATTTTTTATCACAAAACCAACGTTTTTCTCCATTGAATTAAATGCACACAATTTAACATATATAGCAATATTAGTGATGAATAAACAATTGCCACCTGAATCATTGAATATATATTTATTTAGTTCACAGCCATGTGAAGCCACTTTTCGAAATTGTAGAGCGTTATCGGGAACGTTTTCATCATCAACAAATTTTAG